GTAAAGGATACAACAACTGCGAGGTTCCGTCCGGGAGCACGGTGAGGAATTTCTGTCCGTGTTTGTAGTATTTCTGCAGCAGTTTGCCCTTCCCCACCTGGAGTAAGGACAGAGCAGGTGAGAAGGGGCAGTTCCAGGCTCCTGGGAGCGCTGCCATCACCACCCCCGCAATACCTTCCTTCCCAGGGGGCTGAAATCCGGGATGATGTCGCAGAGCTGCTCCTCCTCCTCCTCGGGCCGGGGCTGTTTGTCGCGCCGGCGCTGCCGCTCGGGCTGGGGCTCAGGCTTAGGCTCAGGCTCAGGCTCAGGCTCAGGCTGGGGCTGTTTGCTGGGCCGGGTCCCCAGCTCGGGCTCTTTGCTGAGCCTGCCCTCCTTGTCAGGCCGGGACTCCTCCGAGGGCTGAGGGTTAGGCTCAAGATCAGGCTCAAGCTCAGGCTCCTCCTCGGGCCAGGGCTCCTCCTTGAGCTGGGTTCCCAGCCTGGACTCAGGGTAAGGCTCAATCTCGGGCCAGGGCTCCTCCTCAAGCTCCAGCCTGGGCTTCTGCCTGCGCTGGGTTCCCCGTTTGGACTCAGGCTCCTCCTTGAGCTGGGTTCCCAGCCTGGACTCGGGGTAAGGCTCAGTCTCGGGCCAGGGCTCATCCTCAAGCTCCGGCCTGGGCTTCTGCCTGGGCCGTGTTCCCCACTTGGACTCAGGCTCAGGCTCCTCCTCGAGTTGGGTTCCCCGCTTGGACTTGGGGTAAAGCTCATCCTCAGGCCAGGATTCCTCCTCAGGCTCCTGTTTTGGCCTCTGCTTGCGTCTGGTTCCCAGTTTGGACTCAGGCTCAGGCTCCTCCTCAAGCCAGGACTCATCCTCAGGCTCCTGCCTGGGCTTCTGCCTGGGCCGGGTTCTGCGTTTGGACTCGGGGTAAAGCTCAATCTCAGGCCAGGGCTCATCCTCGGGCTCCTGTTTCGGCCTCTGCTTGCGTCTGGTTCCCAGTTTGGACTCAGGCTCAGGCTCCTCCTCGAGCCAGGACTCCTCGAGCTCCTGCCTGGGCTTCTGCCTGGGCCGGGTTCTGCGTTTGGACTCGGGGTAAAGCTCATCCTCGGGCCAGGACTCCTCCTCGAGCTCCTGTTTCGGCTTCTGCCTGCGCTGGGTTCCCAGCCTGGACTCGGGCTCAGGCTCATCCTCGGGCCAGGACTCCTCCTCAGGCTCCTGCCTGGGCCAGGACTTCTCCTTGGGCTTCTGCTTGCGCCAGGTTCCCAGTTTGGACTCAGGCTCAGGCTCCTCCTCGAGCCAGGACTCCTCCTCGAGCTCCTCCCTGGGCCAGGACTTGGCTTTGGGCTCCTGCTTGCGCCGCATTCCCGGCTTAGACTCAGGCTCAGGCTCTTCCTCAACCCAGGACTCCTCCTCAAGCTCCTGCCTGGGCTTGTGCTTGCGCTGGGTTCCCAGCCTGGACTTGGGCTCAGGCTCTTCCTCAAGCCAGGACTCATCCTCAAGCTCCTGTTTTGGCTCCTGCTTGCGCCGGGTTCCCAGTTTGGACTCAGGCTCAGGCTCATCCTCGGGCCAGGACTCATCCTCGGGTTCCTGCTTGGGCCGGGTTCGCAGCTTGGACTGGGGCCAGGGCTCCTCCTCGGGCCGGGTTCCCGGCTTGGACTCGGGCTTAGGCTCCTTCTCAGGCCGGGTTCCCAGTCTGGACCCAGGCTTAGGCTCCTTCTCAGGCCGGGTTCGCAGCTTGGACTCGGAGTCAGGTTCCTCCTCAGGCCAGGGCTCCTCCTCGGGCTCCTCCTCAGGCTGAGTTCCCAGCTTGGTCCCAGGCTTAGGCTCCTTCTCAGGCCGGGTTCCTGGCTTGGTCTCAGGCTCAGGCTCCTCCTCAGGCCGGGTTCCCAGTCTGGACTCAGGCTTAGGCTCCTCCTCGAGCCCAGAGTGCTCGGGCCGGGGCTGCAGCTTGGTCTCGGTCTCAGGTTTTGGTTTAAACTCCTCTGTGCTCCCAGCAGGCGCTGGTGTCCCAGCCTTGGCAGATTTGGGTTCCTGGGAACGCTCGTAGGAAACAGCTCTGGTTTTCTGTGGACCTGCAGAGCACAGGGAGGGTTTTGTGTGTTTTCCACCGTGGGGCTGTCCCAAAGCTCWGCTCTAACTGAGCCAGTGCAAATCCTGGCTCAAACACCCCATCTGMGAGTTTGTCTCAGGTGTTTTCTACTGTTTGGGACTGCTGCTCTCTATTTCAGAGCACAGGGTTGTGATAAAATACAGCATTTTTCAGTTATGGATATAGAAACGTGTGTAAAGAGTGACTTTTTGGGATAACATTTGGAACTGGAACTGATGGTTTGCCATCCCCAGTGCCATCCTCAGTGCCTGCCATGCTCTGAAAACATACTGGAAATCTGCTTCACCTGTCAAAACTCCTGGAAATCTGTCAAAACTCCCAGAAATCTGTCAAAACTCCCAGAAATCTGTCAAAACTCCTGGAAATCTGTCAAAACTCCTGGAAATCTGTCAAAACTCCAGGAAATCTGTCAAAACTCCTGGAAATCTGTCAAAACTCCAGGAAATCCGTTAAAACTCCAGGAAATCCATCAAAACTCCAGGAAATCTGTCAAAACTCCAGGAAATCTGTCAAAACTCCTGGAAATCTGTCAAAACTCCTGGAAATCTGTCAAAACTCCTGGAAATCTGTCAAAACTCCTGGAAATCTGTCAAAACTCCCGGAAATCTGTCAAAACTCCAGGAAATCTGTCAAAACTCCTGGAAATCTGTCAAAACTCCTGGAAATCTGTCAAAACTCCTGGAAATCTGTCCAAACTCCTACTCTGGGCAGAGCCAAAGGCTGCTCAGTCATCCCCAGCCTGGGTTAGGAATTCATTGGTGGAGTGTCCACCTCATCTGGATGACCCAAAATCTGGTAGGTCCGACTTGCCAAGGCCTGGCTTTGCCAGTCAGGCTCTGTGCATCTCAGCTGGAATTTCACATACACATCCCTCGAGGGATGGTTTCCTATGGCTGTATCTCATTTAATGAGATTGCACATAACAAAATCCTCCTGTTCTGCTGGAATCCAGCAATCCCACCGAAAGATAAATGGASAAATCCRYAAGGAAATGCCAACTCACCCTCAGGGGCACTCGGCTCTGCAGACTGCTCAGCCAATTCTCCTGCCAGRTGTCTCCTCTGCTGCCTGGAAAATAAAAGTGTTCCCGATAGCCTCTCATCTGGAAAGCTGCCAGCAGYGGATGTCCCTGCCTTAGGAACTCARCTTTGGGAATTGTGTTTTYCTCTCAAAATTCYAARYAACAGAGGCAGCAAAAYACTCRTATYGTGGCAGAAAGGAATTGCACCYRCACAGATTTTCAGAGTGCAGAGATGAATATTGCATTGGTGTTTGGGATTTTATGTGAAAGGGAAGGACAGCTGCCAGCAAGATTAAGATCACAGCTCAATTCTAAGAATATTTTCTCTATTCTTGTGCAGCCTCCCATAAATGTGAGTGTGACAGGGTTTGGTGTGTGTGGGAAGCATTTGCACCCCCAGACTGCAAAGGATCCTCAAGGAGACCGACAGTTTAGTTCCAGGTACAAAGGTTTACTTTTCTCTGTGGCTTAGACTTTCCCTGGAGGCTTAGACTCTTGCACAAGCTTTGGGCAAGCAGCCTGAGAACTTGCAGAGTTCTTGTGACTGGAAACTGTAATCCAAACTCGTGTCACAGTCTATGGAACAAAACAGAAATACAAACTCCAGCTTTGGTTCGGTGCCACAGGTAAGAGCTACCCCGAAATACCGGCCCTTCCTACAGCTCTGGGGTGGTTTGGGCTCTGGATATTTTATCTGGCAGCACTGGAATTAACAATTAACAGTTAGGTGTCTGTCCATCTCCTTGTGCAGCCTGGCAGCAGAGGAGCCAGGAGGGACCAGAGAAGTCCAAAGCAAAGCTTTTCCCTCTCTCTGCAGTTTCCTTTTCCCCGATTTCCCGTTGTTCCTCACACACACAGAGCTCATCCCCATTTCCCCCGTACCTCTGGTCCTGGTGCAGCTTTGGCAGGCTGGGCTCAGAGCTGTGCGATTCCTGGTGCAGCTTTGGCAGGCTGGGCTCAGAGCTGTGCGATTCCTGGTGCAGCTTTGGCAGGTCGGGCTCAGAGCTGTGCGATTCCTGGTGCAGCTTTGGCAGGCTGGGCTCAGAGCTGTGCGATTCCTGGTGCAGCTTTGGCAGGYYGGGCTCAGAGCTGTGSGATTCCTGGTGCAGCTTTGGCAGGCTGGGCTCAGAGCTGTGCGATTCCTGGTGCAGCTTTGGCAGGYYGGGCTCAGAGCTGTGGGATTCCTGGTGCAGCTTTGGCAGGCTGGGCTCAGAGCTGTGCGATTCCTGGTGCAGCTTTGGCAGGCTGGGCTCAGAGCTGTGCGATTCCTGGGTGCTGCCAGCGCTGTTTGCATCCTCCAGCCTCCTCTTCTCCGTCACGATGAACTCGTAGAGCTCTCGGCTGCGCTCGCAGCAGAATCCCTGACAGGGGGGAGAGCAGAGCCGTGAGCGGGGCYGTTCACAGCAAACCCTCCCTGCTCCCTTTCCCACCTCCAGCTCACATCTTCCTTGTCCTGGGAGAAGGGAACATCCACGGAGATGGGGAACGGTCTCAGTGCGCTGCTGCAGAACTCACACGTGGGCTCAGCATCTTCCTCTGCCTGCAGTGAGGAGGGGAACGCGGGGAGGATGTGGGGAATGGGGTACCAACCCCAAATCCACGTTAGCACGGGGAAAAGGACTCTGCTCCACATGCAGAAAGCATCTGAGGGCACTCCCAACAGATCTGGGGTWTATCGGAACCATTTAAAGCATTACGTTCACAAAACCGCCCGAAAGGAAAGCAGATCTGTTGTAAATTGTAAATAAATCAATAAATGCCCCCAAAGAAAGGGAGTGACTGTGGTATTTATCCGCCCTGGAAAGCTGCGAGCMCAGAACACTGTGGGTGAGGATTTGAACCCATTACAGATAAGAAAAGCTCCTGAAGAAACATCAGCAGATTTGGTTACAGAGCTGGTGACATCTGGCCAGACACAAACCAGGGTGGCTGCAGGGTGTGATTTGAGCATGGCCGAATCAACATTTCCTTGGTCCCCACCTCACGCCTCAGATTAACTCTGTATTCAGGATTATGGGGAACTCCACGCTTGTATTCTGTGCCTGTACCTATTTATATGCATTTCGTATTTACACAGAGGCCACACTATTTTTCTGGGAGGTTCTCAGCAGTGGGGAGGGGCTGCCCAGCTGCGCACTGTTTAAAGAGCCTCACAGAGGAAAATCCCGTCAGGAAGGGGCTCCTTTTCGCGTTGGGTAAAGGGTTTAGTTCCCCGTTTTCTGCGAGAAAGCGCAGGAACGGAGCAGGGAGTGCCCGGCCCAACGGACCTGGTGCTGGACGTTCGCCGGGGCGCACTCGGCTCTGTAGGCCAGCAGGGTGGGCAGCCCGGCGGGGCTCGGCTGCTGTTCTGCTTCTGCTTCTGGTTCTGGTTGTGGTTGTGGTTCTGGTTGTGCCGGGGACGCTGCCGAGCGCTCCGTGCCCTGCTCGGGGCTCCGGGGCCGGCGGGACCCGCCCGCTGCCCCGTCCGCCGCTCCCTCCGTGCCCGGCCCGTCCATGCCCGGCCGGTGCGCACCGGGACCG